CTTTTCTCTACATACATAGAGTGGCATAGAAAAATATGTTTCCTTGTATCAGTGAATTAATTAGTCAAGATTTTGTCGTATTTTTCAATTAAACCTAGCCGGATAAGGATAGATATAAGAAGATACAGACAGTTTTAGCACGGTTAGGACTCTGAAGTAGGGGGAGTGATATGGGTATGTTTGATTTATCATTAAAATACTTCATTTAACAAAACATTCTCTATTTCTTTATTAGCTAACTCTTTTTCTTTTAGATTAAACATTCTATTTAAAGTCTCCAATAAAAAAAATAAGGCTGCTCGTTCCAGTGTTGAAAGCCCATTCTACATAGTATGAAGCATGGTTCGTTCAAAGAGGCCACTGGACAATGTTTTGGTCTTGATTAAGTTCCATACATAATGCGCTGATCATATCAATCTTTTCCTACACGAACCAGCAAAAAGGGTTTGTTCAGCTACAGTAACACAAATGATTTCCTGACTTTATAGAAAGCTTTCAGTGAAAAATAAGATGCTTTTTGATAATTTAGTAAAGAGTACGGTAACGATTTGCTTTAATCTTTGAACATTTAAAAAGGAAATATATGCTTCGCATTTTCAATAAGTTCACGTGTACATGTATAACAACATGTTGTTTAAGGGAAAGTTATTGACTATATCACATGTCGAGCCCGGAGTCCTTCTTTCGAGGTCACCAGTACAATGTTTAATGAGAGTTTTAAAAATGTGAAATATTGAAACAATTATGCTTGTGTTTATGAGAATTGAAAGACGTTGAACCTTTCGTTAAAGTTTAACACAGTGATTGATAACGCCTCACAACCATAGCTAAGCTACCACACACACCATAACAGTCCGTGCTCTCTCTTATAGCTGGCGTATAGCTCGAAACGGCCAACCCTGCAAGGTACAACTCTACACTTACCGGGATTACGTTGTTCCACTTTCCAATATGTGTTGAACACAGATAGAAGACGTGGCTGAGGAAAAGTGCATCCCATCAATTTATATAGTGGTACAAGTCGTTTTTCCCCATTTTAGCTTAGATTGAGTCTGATATCGAACCAAATGGCACAGATAGACAGAGAGATAAAACAAATTATTAACCTATCGTCGTGAGAGACAACCCGAAAAACTCCACAATTACTAAGTAAACAGAAAAGATTCATCTCAGTCAAATAAAACGAGGATTACTGTATGTAGAAAGTATTTTTACATTAGAGTTAAATATAATTCCTCTAGAAACATTATTATTTTGACAACGATTAACAGCGATTTGTCCTTACCGAAATATATCACTTGCCTTACTTATTCGTTCGATTAAACGAAAACATTTGTATGTTTATTAATAGCAGCTGAATTTCCTCGACATAAGATACCGTGCTGAAAAATTGCCGTGTTTCAAATTTTCGTGATCTTGTCTGTGTTTATTTTTAAACATTCCACCGAATAAAAAAAACCACTAAATATTAATTTGAGTTTGTTCGTATTCTTCCCTTCATTGGTTTTTTTTAACATTTAGTTTAGAGTAACTACTGAAGTTCTGTATCTTCAACTTTAGTTTCTGACATTCCGTACTCGTCAATGAGTATTTGCTAGAGGTTTTCACATACCTTTCTCATTTTTATTAATTTAAGTTAAGAAATAATATAAGTAAATTATCCTTAATTTCAGAAATGAAATAAGATAAGGTAATTTATTTCGAAATATGTCTTTCTGGAATGTTTGCTATGAATTTTAACTACGATAATTTAGCACCCAGCACGAACACGTATGAACATAAGAAAACACATGCAGAGTTGGTAGGGAGCGTACATTATTTAGTACACAAAATCATTCAATGTTTTACAGATGTTTACGAACATATATATGGTAACGAATATTAATTTATTTTAATGGTTCATAATTTTTTCATCGAGCCGTGCCGTATACATGCTACATGACGGTATAAGGTATGGTCTTCGTCAAACGCTTACAGGAAAATAAAGAATGGCCTCTCCAAATCGTGGTTTCTTTGTACATGTGTAACCGCTGAATAGGTTGCGCTTCAATATGCAATGATATGGTAGGTCAGAATGCAAAAACGACGTTAAATAACGAGAAAATAAATATATTGATTTATGAAAAAAGAAACGAAATTTCGAACTTTTCCAAAGATAACCAATGTACATTGTATTTCATTTATTACGGCCAAATACCACACGCTACGAGAATTTGTAAAGACACTTCAGAATTCGAGCTCCATGAATCGATCATGTCTCATAATATAATAATAATAATATACAATATTTGATATAGCGCCCTATCCAGCTAACATAAGCCACTCTAAAGCGCTGTACAAGGCAATATGTCTCTTTTGCGGTAATGACCCCTTACTGAGCAAAAACAAGTGATGTTACAATTAATACAATTAGCATATACTTTAGTCAATACAATTTTGAGGAATTCGCAGGAGCCGCCTTGTCATGCGCTGGTTTCTAGTCCTATGCCACCTGGCTAATATCTCCCTTTGTGCGTATGCCTGCGTGTGTGCTGTAGATGTAAATGCTCTGTTTGAAGTGAGACCGTGCTTCCAATGGGATCATTTATAGTGCCACCTCACTTGAATGCTACAGCACAGATACCGCAACATCCACCCCGGACCAAATTATAATCCACCTGTGTTGTTGGAGTTTATGTGGACAGGAGAAAAACACTTTCTCTGAATATACATACGCACGACGACTTCGGGGATCGAACGCCGGTCAACTGCTTGGAAGGCAAGGGTGTTAACCACTGGACCAATCCGCCCACAACATATTACTCGTGATGTAAAGAAGATATCAAGAATATATAAAGATTTGGCGTGTGATAAGACATATATTGTAGATTTGAATCAAACCCTGTAACATAACATAATGTAAGACATGTTTTCATGTGTTATATATCTCTTGTTTTTGCTCAGTAATGGGTCATTACCGCGAAAGAGACATATTGCCTTGTCCCCTTGCCGTGACCTTCCACTTTTCGTACCAGAGAAATGACGTTTATGGATAAGTATTCAACAGGTTGAATGCATGGGAGAGTTTTACATCTCGGAGAAGATGCTATAGGGGAGACATCGGAAATTGTTTTCTTCGAATATATTCATAAGAAATAGTCTACTTTTTACTCGTTTGGCTTACACATATTACTGGTAATATACACCCACTAGCGTTGATGTTACAATTTATTGACGCCACATGTCACAGTCTTGTGACCCGCACTTGGTCAGTATTATAAATCGATTACGAGCTTTCATCATATGACAATCGCGATGACAATTGTACCGACTTCAAGGAAGCTGGCGCAGAATACCGGAAGTTGCTGGGTGTAAAGCATGACAAAAAATAACATTGAAGGTGTCTATTTCAGCGTTCGCAGACGATATCATAACGTTCCCACCGAATTGTGAATACGGCGTGTCATATATCAAATTGGTTGAATCGGATTCCAGTGGTATTGGATGACAACAATCGATAATGGAAATTATTATAAAACATGTAACGTGACTGATTTTTGCTTAAAGAATACCTATATATACACCATTCACCGTTTAACGAATCAAGGACGGCTAACACAAATCAGACTTAAAGCGTTTACCCGAACAAATACAGATATAAGGTGAGCACGTAAATCATCAATTAATATTTTAGGGTTTTGTCACTTATTCACCACCAAATATATATCAGTTTGGTCTAGTCGTCGATCTCTGCGGGTTGTGGCTAAGGACTAAAATAAATACATTATAAGTAGCCTGTAGAATATTGTGTCATATTTATTTAAATTTCATGAATACAAAGTTGTCAGGAAAACATTGTTCATTTTTCACCCAAGCGTTCGCAGCGAAGCATTGGAGGCTACCTGTAAGCAGCCTTTATTTAGGTAATGAAACGAGAATAAGCTTGCGCATCAAATTGAATTAGTGAAAAAGAATGGATCTGTATAAGTCCAAATACTTTAAGCACGGACAGGGACTTTTTCGGACATAAATGATCGGAAATATTGGTTCATTCACGGAAAACTCTGCAAAGACGTCATGCAAATACCACCCTTTATTTGTTCAACTATGTGCAAATTGCTTGCTTAAATGTATAAAAGTGATTGAAAGCCTTTGTTTTTTGTTTCACATTTATAACTATTACTATTATCCATATGTGGTAAAGCGCTTTAGAGTAATTTTACAAATCAAATAGGGCGCTCTATAAATGTTGTCTATTATTATTATTATTGTTAAAACACCGATTTATTTCTTATGGTACAGATTAAGACAGTGGACACCTTCAACGCCATAATGCTTGATTTATTAAATTTTGCAAGTGAAGCTATTGGATTCTTTCAACTTGATAAAATCAAATCCTAAACAATGAAACCAACAAATAGCAGAAAATACTAGTATTGTGTAGCCTTTTCAAAACGGCACGCAGCTTTGTTAAGGCACAACGTCTTTTAGAAAATGACCCGAACTATAACGCAAGTAATACCTTGACAGTAATGGACTTTACATTGAATTCCATTTGTGCTTTATTTCCCTTGTACAATAAACCATGAAATACTCTGTTTTCATTATGAAACCATGGCAACGAAAAAGAAATTTAGTAAAATTGTGTGTCAATAGGATAAACAGTACGGCAATAATCTATGGTATAGTGTCCTTACATGACGATAAAATAATACAATTAAATATGATTCAATAAAAACATCGAAGAAGAAGAAGAAGAAATTTTTCTGTGCCTTTTCTCATGCATCGAAGTTGAATTTATATTGTACATAATTCAAAATAAATGCATGTTTCTTTCCACATCTGTAAACGTGCTAATTTATTTCATAAATCGACACAGCGTAATCATCAAACTAATCGTCACGTTGCCCTGTCACTAATACAACTGTGAAATCGCCATGTGGAGGGACATGATTATAGATAAAAAAAAAAAAACGCGTTGGCCTACACTCGATTGACGCATATAGGTCCTTCTAAGGTCACGGGCCCGATAGCGTCTCACTGACCCTGCTAAATACAACATGGCGTCGATACTGGCCTGTTTGCTACCGGTGGTTCTCATGGTAAGTTGACACTGTTTAAGGTGATAAACTGTTATCGTTAGCAGTGATAAACTGTTATCGTTAGCAGTGATTAACTGTTACGAAATAACCTTTTGTACTTGAGTATTTCTGTTAACGTACACAACGTGGTGAAATTTCGGATGCTGATTGGATAATCAGCAAAGCCTAATTCTGGCAATTGTCCCGAGCACTATTACATTTGGGGACGTTGATGCTACCGGCGTTGTCTCCGGGTACCAGAAACATGGCCGCTGATGCTACTATAAAAAAACAACTACCTTTAATAGATTCAAGGCGGGTTTTTATCGGGTACTCCGATTTCCTCCCACATTTAAAACCTCCGCGCGCTACCATCCGGGCCAACAATAATGACTAGCACAAGTTGAAATAGCTTGTTTAATAATTATTGTAAAATAAATAAAGTTAATATAATATTAAGCTACGGGTAACTTAAACCAACTGCTTTCTGTTGGGACACCATGGTTTCATAGCGATACAATATCACCATCGACTTTGCCTCTTAACAATATTGTGTATCCATACAAATTATTTGACTCTAGTTTCTTAAACAGAAAACAATAATATCTACAACAATTGAATGGGACCATAGTGCCCTCAGCTGAATACAATACTAGATTTATTTCATCAATACTGCTGTACCAAAGTGCCCTCAACCGAATGCCTCTACAATGATTTGGGGCCATGCTCTCAAATGAATATGATACTAGGTATATGTCTACAATGCTATGAGGTAATTATGTGCCTAAAACAAAAGGCAATACTAAAAACAAAAGACCAAAGGCCCACGTAACTCTCGGCGTAAATATTATATTTTAAAAAAAAATCTGAAATAAAATTGTCTTATCTCGAAAACCGCTTAACGGAAAATGATAGAATTAGTATCATCCTTTTTTAAACTTCAAGCACAACTACTTACCAACATGCTCGTTCTTCTAATTGCACAGGTTTCTATAACTCATAGTTTTGCAGAACATCGTGCTACAAATATGCAATTTAGATGCTCACGACAACGTAAGGCGCTCGGCAACGCTTATAGCCAATTAGAAGTACAAATTCCTGTCACCTGATGATGAGTTCAACAATTTAGTTACTTAGAATACATATATATATCTTTCAGGGATTCGGTTAAACCGGAAGTACTTTAGTTCCTAAGCACTCTAGTAAGTACCGAGAGGTCACACCGTGTTTCTCATGTTGACACTGCTATCAGGCTCTATACGTGTCTGGAGACATGTTCACTTTCTTCACGAAGTGGAATGACCGACCTTTTTGAAGTACTGGTTTGTGTACTTTCCCTGAACATTGATTAAAGAGCAAGCCCCTCCTCTGATCTATATATATATACTGTATATACGTAATCGTAACAGCTAGAGACCTCGTGGTTATGAAACCGTCATACCGTGTATAATTCTTTACCTCCAAAGAGACATTAAACCTATCAGAACGTTGTAAAACGGTCGATGCTTCACCCTAGGGGAAAACGGTACGACATTAGCTGATATAAAAAGCCGAATTATGTCACAAGTAGCCACCCTAATGGTTTTCTTCATTATTCCGTGACATCGTTAGCTCTCTCTGTGTGTCTGTTGTTGTGATTTTCATTACTCACTCTATAACTTTATTTTTACAAAATACACGAAGTAAATTTTCATTATCAAAATGTGCATACTTTATCGTGTATGGTGTTGTTATTCAAAAACCGTTTGATTTAATTTAAATGATGGCGTTTTATATTTTTAAACAGTTGTAAACTAGTACAACATACCTTCACGTATATATTGCAGACCAGAATCTTCCTTTTTATCAATACCATGATCAACAATGAAAATTGTAAATTGCAAAAAAAAAAATGTGTTCCTTGGAAGAAATCTATATATAAGTATATTCACTGTAGTCATCAGCATCTCGGATTTATTTCAGCTTAACCAGTTGCAATTAAGCACTTCTTACAGTTTAGCCTGTACTAAGATAATATATATTCGTTAAGTGTAACACAAAGCAATCATTTATATAATAAAGTCACAACCACCATTCCATAATGATTTCTAAAACTTGTACTCAGTGTATTGGATAATGTTCTGGTTTCAATATTTTGGAGATCAAACACAGTGTGCTTTACAATGTTAAAGATCGTACGACCAATTTAGCATACAACAGAGGAAAAGGCTAAATATCTGAGGTTGCAATATAATCATACAATGTAGGGCATAGNCCACCCACCCACCCAAAAAAGCAACTGATAAAGACGTCATTAGTTATTACTGGCAATGAGATTATAAGAAACAAAAGTGAGTTAATCACAGTTTCAGCTCTACTCAGGTCAAAGCATCTGTGTAGAGAGGATAATTCTTTCAAGTTCTCCTTTTCCATCTTTAAAACTTTTACATAAATTAAATTTTGACCAGGAAGTATTAGTACCATTGATGAGGTGATTCTTTACTGTAAGAGGAGACATCTCGACGTACATATCATCTATAATTATGGTACATGTTCATACAGGTATGTGATTGTTTATTCGCTATGTCAGCTTCAGGACCAACAGATCACAGAGTGCTTTCTACGCAGACACTTTTATCAGGCTATAATTACTGTTTTTATGTTCTTTTCTCAACGCCCGAAGACTTGCCCAGTGGCAAGGGAATGACCGCTTTTCTGAAATATTGGGTGCCTTTGAACTTTCCCCGAGACAGCGGCCAAAGAGCAAGACAGACGCCATGAGTCAGAATAACGTACGATCCGATTTAAAACCGTAGCCATAAACTGTTCATAAATTCTTTATCACCAGATAAAATTACAGCCCAATGGCTGATGTAAATGAGTTAGTGTATAATTACCAATATCAAAAGTTATTTCATGATGCTTTCAGCTTCCTTTATGGACACTGTATACCACTGAGGTTCTGTATATCAATTATGCTTTGGTTTTCAATGGAAATCGTTTATTAAGTATACTAAATATAGATATAATGTTCTCTTATTCTTTACAAGCCTGGCTATTTTTATATATCTTGTTGAATACTTGCACGTGACCTAGAATTTCAACTACGATGTAACAAAAATGTAACCTTTTACTATTTTTGTTCTGTTTATGAGAGCAACTTATAATTGTGTCGGCTGTTTTGTATAAATCCGGATAAGGATAGCGACGCGTTTATGTAAAACTTTATTTGTGTATTTTGTCAAAATTATCAAAATCAAGCATTTCACCTGCATGAACAAGGATTATACTTTTATTGATACTCAACAAATTTGTTCATTTTCAGAATTTTGTTTTTTTAATTGTGAGTTTAAAAAACCCGGGACATGACCTAGATTTTGTTTAGTGATAATGGGTGAAGTACATGTATACGTCATTCACGCATGAACACAACTGAAACATCGCCCCAAAGGAGGTGAAGTATTCTATTAAATTAGGTGTGTTACTTCTGCCTACTTATTTGGGGGGAAAAGTTTTATTATATGTTTTATAATTCTTCTGTCTCTTCGGAATGATTTATGTAGACAAGACTTTCTGTTTGGTTTATACAGTTTATCCTTATTGGATAAAAATACCCAGCAAGTTTCAGTAATTTTTAAAAGAGGGAGAGGCCAAATGATTGATAAGATATGGAATTCGAGGATTTTTTTTATAAAATTATATTTTCTTTGTAAAATCATGCGTGAAATTTAACGGCTAGCTGAGCGACCGATTCCCAAACAAATCCGGTCTCTTACAGGGGGGAATTTGGTCACATGTACTCTTTTCCTTGTATGTAAATGATTTTGAAACTAATTTTATTAATGATAATTGTCCCAGTATTTATTTTAAAATGCTTAATCTTTTCCTGTTAATGTTTGCTGATGATATGGTTTGGTTTGCAAATACTCCAGAAGGTTTGCAAAGTATGTTAGACTCCTTACAGGAATACAGGAGAACTTGGAATTTGGAGGTTAATGCTGATAAAACTAAAATTGTTGTTTTTAGAAACGGGGGCAATATAAGAAATGATAAATCCTGGATATATAATAACCATACTGTAGAAACTGTTGATAGATTCAAGTACTTAGGGATTTTGTTTAATTATAATGAAAAGTTTTTAAACACAGAAACACGTCGCAGAACAAGGGAAAAACGCTTTATTTTCATTATTTTCATCTTTAAGAAACCATTGTTTGAATGTAGAAACGTTGTGTTCTATTTTCGATTCACATGTCAACAGTATACTTTGCTATGCGTCTGAAATATGTGGGTTTCATAAAGCCCCGGATGTAGAAAGTGTACATTTAAAAAAAAATTAAAAAAAAATTAAAAAAGGCTAAAGGTACGGAAAACAACATATTATGATTTAATATACTGTGAGTTGGGAAGGTTACCTTTGTATATTTAGTAGAAAATTAAGAGTTTTTAAATATTGTTTGAAATTAAAGCAGACGGATAATTTGATTTTAAGTGAGTGAGAATGATTTGTGGGTAAGAAATATTAAGAATGAGTTAGCAACCTTAGACCTTAATTAAATGTTTGACTCTTCATTAGCGTTTAATGTTATGAAAATCCTTTAGGAGAAGCCGTTACTTTTGACAATATGCTTTGTTTGGAAGTATCTATCAGTCTCTGTTCTATTATTTTAAAAGAAACATTAAACGCTAATGAAGAGTCAAACATTTAATTAAGTCCTAAGGTTGCTAACTCATTCTTAATCATATTCTTTGATTAATCTGTGTCTGAAATTGCTATAAAATTGACAAATCAAAATAAAATGAAACTAGTCTTCTATATTTGGATTTTTAGGTCAGGAGCATGCACAAGATAAGGGGAGATGTACCGTTAAAGAAAATATGAGAGTAGTTGAATGCTGAAGCGTTTGTTTTATATTTATTGTGCAAGAACCATAATATTTAATTGATATTTCGATAGATTATACATTTTTCTTTAATTCATTACCTACTTATTAATAAATACGGGTTTGTGAATATGCGATACGACACAATTGCTCTAACCCATATGGATCATATCTAATTTTTCCCATCTAACACCAACAACGTCATTCGGAACCCTTGCTTGCCAACAGTTCAACAATGGCGTATGCTGAGGCCATCGGGCTGATATTTGAGTCTCGTGTTGATGAAGGATGTGATATGGAAGACGGCATGCATTATTCTCTATTTAACAGAGGTTTAAGAATCATTCGTTCCATTTCCATATTTGTTATTTTATTAGAATGTTTTTTTTTTTTTTGGTGTGTTAGATTACTGGCCAGCAATCAATTTGTTCAGCTGAGCAAAACAAATACGAAAAAAATATTTAAAAAAAAAACCACAAGAAATTGCTAGTCTTTTGACAAGGGTTGTTTTTTTGTGCAACTAAGGAAGTGTCAAGAGATTCAAGTGTCTTTAATAAAGTCTCCTTCGGAAGACTCTAGATATAATGGCGTTATGTTTGTTGTCATAGGAAACATCGACCGGCAAAGAAACAGCACGCTGTACACTCGAACACTGTATCTTAAAACTGATTTCACATGAAGCAATGTATCTGTTCACATTTCACATTATGCTTTCGTTTGCAGTGTGTCTCCGCTGATGCACAGCCGGCTAATATAGACCCAGTGTTTCTTGAAGAGATGTATGCATGCAATCCACCATGTCTCCCCGACGAGTGTTGTATCCACGTATGGACGCCTGATAACACCATCGGTAAACGATTTCCGAAATTACCTTTCCGAATGGAAATCAAACGGACATTAACGACACACTGTGAGCCGTTAAAAACTGAGGGTTCCGAATGTCTGGTTCAGAAGAACTTTGAGATATGTCCATGCGGCCGGAATCTTGTGTGTTCTCCTAACCAAGGCAACCTTGGCCTGTATTTCGGTACATGCAAGCCTTAATAGCTCATGTGCGACTGACATATTCCTTTCCTTGGTGAGAGTGTTTTCTCGATTATGATGAATATTTTATAAGTGTAATCAGTAGACGTCTGGACGCTTACCATATTAAAGTAAGGTGATGATTTGTCTTTTGTAACTAAGTACATACCAAGCAGGCGTCCAAGGGGAGGCATTTTAACGGAACAAGTTTATTGTGCTTACAAATTAAAATGCAATTTAATGAAATAAATGTTGTTTTTATTACTGACAGATCAAATAGAAACCATATTATCGCAATATGAAGGTTATGACCATAGAATCATACATTTTGGAAAGTGCTAAAATCATTGTGCTTCAATGCTTTCGACCATAAATTACGCCAAACGTTGTATAATTTACATGTTTTCTCTTACTGTAGAGAAACACGATTCTTCGTCTGTCTGAAATTCATGAGGGCGAAGCACTACTTTCCTACAGTAAGAGTAATACATCTTTTATTGTGCCGAAAAATAACAATTACAAAATTGTAAAGATAATCAGATTGACGCGCCATTATTGTCGTCTGCTTCCGTCATTCGAATCAAGGTTGTTGTGGCTATTGTCGATTGTTCTAGACAGGAACCGAATAAGGGTGATATGTTCGGGGAGACTTAAGTACGTGAGGGCGACATGATGTATAATTACCTCGTCATGTGACCATTATCATCCAATCAGGCACGCTGTTATAAAGATGAGGTTAAATGATATTACTTATTCTGTTTGGCCCTCATGCTGGAAAGGTAGGGGTTTGAGGGTGTCTGCACATGAAACCCACAAGCGCGTCCGACAACTGAAGAGTTCAGAGAGAGATAGTTGGTGGCTGCAGTCGACACAGACTGACCAGGTGTCCATGGGTCTGGACGAGGTACACATAGAGTGGTCAAGAGACCAAACACGAACAACGCGGCAAGTCGCTGTGGTACCTCTGAGGAAAAGTCAGTAGCCAAACGTCCAGTTTTGAAATCTAATGAAGAGTTACCCAGAAGTAGAGCGAGACTTCGAGATTCTCCCGGAAGTGACGCATACAGACATCGTTCCTCCCTGCACAAGTAGATCCTGAATCTCATTAAACCTTCCTCTGAAATTATATAAAATAGAATCACGTGTAGAAAAATTTGATAGAAACAAAAACTTTATCTTAACAAACACAACGGAGTCCAAAGCCTACAATCCCTTAACAGGGTACAACAAACCTGTAAACAGCAAGAGGCCCATGACCCTTCAATGTCATTTGATAATATACAGATAATATTTCTTCTTCATTCAAGCTAGGTACTGGCCACATACATGACCCTTTGCTTTATGATCGTATCTTTACAGGAAGACAATTAAAGAGATATTAACATAGAAACCCAAGTGACCTTGAATTATTGTACTCGACGACAAATATTATTATCCTACATCTCAAATAGCTTTATGTTTAATATCATTACCTTAGGCCTTATCGTTAATACAGGAATAATTGTTTAAAACGTTTTAACATATTATTCCCCTGTGGCGCTTACTTTTTTTACAAAGACCTTTTATAACTAAACAATCGATACAAAAATATTATGGTCAAGTATATGTGAGACTGATAGTTCAAAACTTCGTGCTAGTCGGAACCGTCAGCTTGTCCTTCTAAACAAGAATGGTTGCTCTGTTGCAGCACATTTTTTTATGTCTTCAACTGCCTGACGCGTAGGTGTAATGGCGGATTGTAATGTAGTTGTAAGAAATACTATGGTAACAATTTTGCCATTTAATCAGGTTTGAATAAATTGGTCAATGCCAACAACCTGTGCCACTGTATGCTTGCCAGTATAATCAATAAGGTTCGACAACGCTATCATGCATACCTGAAAAATAATTACTTTTCTGCACAGTCGTGTTACCTTTGTACACGCGGAAAATAACAACATAAATAACCTATATACATTTAACATATTATATATACTTTATTGTCAAACAAGTATCTATATAGTTTTTATTAAATTTGTTTTGATACCTATATATAGCAACCAGATATACAGTACCCACATACTCTTACATGCAGACAAAGACAAGGGTTACCCAGTCATCATCCTCGTCCTAATTATTACCACATATACACCATGACAAGGGTTACCCAGTCATCATCCTCATTCTCCTTATTACCACATATACACAATGACAAGGGTTAATGAGTCATCATCCTCATTCTCCTTATCACCACATATACACAATGACAAGGGTTACACAGTCATCATCCTCATTCTCCTTATTATCACATATACACAATGACAAGGGTTACCCAGTCATCATCCCCGTCCTCCACCTTATCGCCATATATACACAATGACAAGGGCTACCCAGTCACCATCCTCATTCTCCCTATCACCACATGTACACAATGACAAGGGTTACCCAGTCATCATCCTCATCCTACTTATCACCACATATACACAATGACAAGGGTTACCCAGTCATTATCCTCATCCTACTTATCACCACATATACACAAGGACAAGGGTTACCCAGTCATCATCCTCATTCTCCTTATTATCACATATACACAATGACAAGGGTTACCCAGTCACCATCCTCATTCTCCCTATCCCCACATATACACAATGACAAGGGTTACCCAGTCATTATCCTCATCCTACTTATCACCACATATACACAATGGCAAGGGTTACCCAGTCATCATCCTCATTCTCCTTATTATCACATATACACAATGACAAGGGTTACCCAGTCATTATCCTCATCCTACTTATCACCACATATACACAATGACAAGGGCTACCCAGTCACCATCCTCATTCTCCCTATCACCACATGTACACAATGACAAGGGTTACCCAGTCATCATCCTCGTCCTCCACCTTATCGCCATATATACACAATGACAAGGGCTACCCAGTCACCATCCTCATTCTCCCTATCACCACATGTACACAATGACAAGGGTTACCCAGTCATCATCCCCGTCCTCCACCTTATCGCCATATATACACAATGACAAGGGCTACCCAGTCACCATCCTCATTCTCCCTATCACCACATGTACACAATGACAAGGGTTACCCAGTCATCATCCTCATCCTACTTATCACCACATATACACAATGACAAGGGTTAATGAGTCATCATCCTCATTCTCCTTATCACCACATATACACAATGACAAGGGTTCCCCAGTCATCATCCTCGTCCTCCACCTTATCGCCACATATACACAATGACAAGGGTTACCCAGTCATCATCCTCGTCCTCCACCTTATCGCCATATATACACAATGACAAGGGTTACCCAGTCACCATCCTCATTCTCCCTATCACCACATGTACACAATGACAAGGGTTACCCAGTCATCATCCTCATCCTACTTATCACCACATATGCACAATGACAAGGGTTACCCAGTCATCATCCTCATCCTACTTATCACCACATATGCACAATGACAAGGGTTACCCAGTCATCATCCTCATCCTACTTATCACCACATATGCACAATGACAAGGGTTACCCAGTCATCATCCTCATCCTACTTATCACCACATATGCACAATGACAAGGGTTACCCAGTCATCATCCTCGTCCTCCGCCTTATCGCCATATATACACAATGACAAGGGTTACCCAGTCACCATCCTCATTCTCCCTATCCCCACATATACACAATGACAAGGGTTACCCAGTCACCATCCTCATTCTCCCTATCACCACATGTACACAATGACAAGGGTTACCCAGTCATCATCCTCATCCTACTTATCACCACATATGCACAATGACAAGGGTTACCCAGTCATCATCCTCGTCCTCATTAAAGTCATCATCCTCATCCTCCTTATTACCACATATACACAATGACAAGTGTTAACCAGTCATCATCCTCATTCTCCTTATCAGCACATATACACAATGGCAAGGGTTACCCAGTCACCAT